GAAAAGGGAGCCTACAGTGTTATGGGGCAGCGGGTTGAGAGCTCTTGTTGTGGAGTGGATCTGACAGATGCTCCGAGATGACACAGGCTTGGACAACCCATGTCGGCATCTCTCTCTACGATACATCTGAGCCTATTTGTCTGCGCTCCCTCTCATTTATGTGTCTTGAAACGGAGCGGCACAGCAGAGCTGCGGGCCTGAAAGCCGCGGCTTGCCTTCAGCTCGACAGTGATGGAGGATTTCTTCCAGCAGACAGTGCAAACAATGTCTCGGCACAGTAAAACTGAAGGGAACTCGAGATGAGGAAAGTATGGTGTATTCTAATAAGACTCACTTGAGAAAATCATATTATACAGAGGAATATGATAATTCATACACCCTTTGCTGGAGCAGTGAACTGATGCGGGTGGTGTACTCTCAAATGTCAGCATAAATTTGCAAAATAAACGCAACCGGCATTCAGCAGGGAGTAGGAACAGGGACAATAAGGGTCTCTGCTGTGTGTGTGTGTGTGTATATCTGTGTGTGTGGGCGTGACAATTCCTCTCAAAGGGTCTATGGCTTTTTGTGCTTGTTCCTGTTTCAGCTCACAGGAGCTATAACGCCAACAAGTGTGTGAGCTAATCTGTGCTTACACAAGTAGGCAGGGCTGCTTGAGGAAAACATTTCATCACAGCATGTTTTATCAAAGCCTTCTAAAGATGACCCAATCAATCTAATCTGCCTTTACTTAAGAATAAGCGCCTGAGCATCTGTCCAATAAGGCAAAAACAAAACAAGACAAAGCACCATAATGCCTTTTGAAGGCGAGTGCCATCACATACACACACGCACACACACATTCTGAACACACAGCATCCTGTTGGAGTAATATAAAGAGTTTTCATATGTGACATGGCCCACATGCATGCTCTCACGTCTCTGTATGATATCCGAATAATGCTTTAAGCCTCGGCTTCTTATTTTACTACATACTAAGCCCATAACATTTTACTTCCAATCCAGGGGCTTTGGTTCGGGCTGGCACAAGCCCAAGGCCCTCCTGGTCTATACGTTTTCACCATCCATCTGTCCCCATGCCTCTGCATCTGTCCTGTCATTTGCTGCTCTTTCCTCTTTGTTTCACTCTTTATCTCACCCTTGTCCTGTCTTTCCACCTGTCCATCTATCATAAGCGCATCTCACACGTATCGAGGTATAGGCAGCCCTGACATGCCAAAAGTTGCACTCAGAGCCAGTTTTCTTTCATAATAACGCAGGCTGACTCGCAGCAGAGAACAGCTGTAAATGCCTTCCCATGCCTACATGCGATGTGACCGTCCCACGTCCCTGAGGGACCGCCGCTAGGGCGTCCACAGTGGAATTTGAATTAAGCCCAGACCAGTGTGACACATTTCCATCACTCAAACGGTTGACATGAAATCTGAGTAGAGACCTGTGGTTCCAAAGACACTGGGTCACACTTCTATGCTGTTATCTTTGGCAGTACATTGGGAACTTATTGGAGTAACTACCCCTCAACAACTGCAGCCCAAAATAGACCGTGGACTTTCACAGTCGGTGCGTTTTGAAGAGGTGTCAAACAAGCCGGGCCAGGAGCAATAGCTTTTATATATGGGTGTGTGTGTGTGTGTGTGTGTGTGTGTGTTACAGAGGGGAGGTGGGGGTGTATCATTCTCTACATTGGTGTCAGGGACAGTTGGGACAGTGGCAGGGAAAGGAGCAAAAGGCCAGCCAGGGGACAGCTTGTGATCTAATACCAAGCACTGCTTCCAGAACAGAACGCATATACACACAGAAACAGACACAGTAAGTATTTTTACACACACATGCTGCTTAAAAAGTGTGCAAACACTTCCCATCGACCCCTTAATAAGAAAATAAAGACCTTCAAAGGGTTGCACTCTTTTTATGCAACCAACCCAGTAAAAGCCACATATCTTTTTTAACTCTTTACCCCTTGAAAGCCAACTATGAGGAACCATTGAAGGTCTGTTCTGAACTGAGCGGTTTCTGTCATGTTTCAGGCCTGCTTATAGAACAAAATGACTGCGTGTGCATCAGAGGGTGGTGTCTGGCTATGCAGCTACCCTTTGAAAAACCTGGAAACTATTCTAATGGTCGTCAAACCAAGTCTTGATTGATATACATGAATGAGTCAAAGCATGTCATTAAGGGTACAGGGGATGTCTTCAAATGTGGTGTTATGGTGGAAAGAGTTAGCATGGCACTAGCCTGAAATGCACAGAGTCACATTAAAAGACAGGCATGCACATAGGAGGCCTGTTAGTGGTGATGACAACAGCAATGGCGACTGTTCAAATGCCACTTTTTGTTCTTGTTGTTTTTTTGTTTCTTTGCACACCCTAGCTTGGGCTTTTTTAGATTCTCCAGATAAAGCTGTGTAAAAGTGACCCACTGTATTTGTAAAAGAAGGACCGCCATCACTTTAACCTCTTGCTGTACTCGAACCTACTTTAAGCTGGCGACGTCACCCACTCCCTGCGTGAAAATGGCCCAATGACTTCCATGATGCAATACTTCCTGTCCCAACTGTCAAGTCAGACCCTGTTTACTCATTTGCTACTGTACTGCGTCGCATTAAAATGCAACCGGAATAAACGCTCCGGTGCAAAAGAAACAGCGGCATGTTTTTCTTTCTGTCAAAGCTGCAACCCGTTTCAGCAGCTGAGTCACTTAACAACTGAACGCAGGTTCAAACTTCCAGGGAGTAAACTTTAAAAAGAGGGGCCTCAGCTTGACAGCTGCACCCAGCTGTTACACGTTTCTGGAGACAGCCTTGATAATCTGCTACCTGCTTTTTCTCAGAACGCACATATAGTCTGACTCAGTGAGTGAGGTTTATTTATTTGGAAGGAGAGGAACATGCATTAAAAAATAAAAATACATTTAAAAAACATGTATGTACACATATATATATATATATATATATATAATTAGCATTAGACACTTACTTCCCTACAGACTTTTCCTGTCTTGCACTCGCACGCGCGCAGGGTGCAAGGCAGCACAGCAGCAAGCTTTGAACTGTGATTTAAATACAGTACATCAGAAAGCCCCTTTAGACTGACACTAAACCTGTTTAAATCAGTACAACACTAGCTTGTGTCACAATTCTCATCTTTTGTCTCACCTCTCCTCTCCTGCTGGTGATTTCAGGTAACGGCTATAAGAGGGTGAAGAAGTTTACTTAGTCACACTGAGTTTAGGGAGATGAGGAGAGTCTGTGATTCTGTGTGTGGGCAA